TTCCCTTCTCAGCCATCTGTTCCCACTTAAAGCCATGTCACTTTTACTTTGTGGTGAGTTTTCACACAAGACTGATGCGGGACAAATCCACTGACAGGCAGTTCCTTTATGCACACACAAACACACAAATTTACATGAAAATATACCAGAAGAGAAGTATTTTCTTGTACTAACTAGTAGCATCAGATAATATTTTTTATTCCAAGGAAAATGATATCAAAAATACACATGTGGAGTTCTACCTGCAGTAGCTAAACTTTGCACATCCAGACATCCTGGACCAGTCAAACAACCCATCTGACACTCTCTCATGCCTAAAAGGACGATTTAAGCCTAGTTTATTCTCTTTGGGGTATGAAGACACGCAATGCCATGAGCCATTGACGCAGTTGCTCTGCGACAGGAAATTAGAGGGTGACATGCCCAGTTTTGTAAATGTCCGTTGAAAGCTACAGAGAGAGCAAGCCTGATTGGTCAAAAGCTCTGACCCACCCATTTGTGTATAAAACAAATGTACTACTGTAAATTTGATGGACCAGAGACATGACTGCAGTGGTGGCATGACCTCTCTAGACCTTTCTAGGTTTTGGCCTGTCATCCACACGAAAATGGATCTTTTTAAAAACTCCGGCAAAAGTGAAGATCTGCACTTTCTCCGTTTTGGGTGTCTGCGTGTGGACAGACAAAACCGGAGTTTTAAGGTCCGCAACGTCACTTTCCGTGACAAAAAAATGCTGACATCACGTGTGCGACCTGTGTTTACACTAGCCGACTGCATGGATGCCCTCAGAGCTGCGCTCGCTTTATCAATTGTCCAAGCGCTTTTTGCTTGTTTGTTTTTGCAAGCGGAATTACTGCTCCTTGCGGAAGACCACAGACGAAGGACGAGCTTAAGAACGGGGGAAGTACTGCCGCCTACAGGTCTGGCATGTCCTTAACAACGTATTTATCCGGGTACGTGTGGACAGAGTATTTTTTTGAAACGAGGTGGTGTGGATGCAAGTTTTTGGAGGGGCGGATATTCGTTTTTTTAAAAACCGGCTACGTGTGGACTAGGCCTAAAGGTTATCCTGATTTTTTTCTACTGTGGAACAGGATGGAAGTCTCAGCACTGAAGTCTACAAGAAACCAACTAACATAAACCAGTGCTTGCATTTTGACTCACATCACCCACTGGAGCACAAAATGTCGGTCATCAGAACTTTACACCATCTGGGTGAGAATATTTCCACAAAGTCTGAAGGAAAGCAAAAGGAAGAGAAGTAAGGTCCCCAAAACTGCAGATACCCCTCAGACAGAAATTGGTCCATGCAAAAGACAAAACACTCAAACAGAAGCTTAGTGGCGTTGGTCATGCAGTTCAGTGTGGTGAGGACTGTCCAAACCTTTACATTGGGGAAACTAAACAACTACAACACAAGCACATGGCACAACACAGGAGAGCACCTCAGGTCAAGACTCTGCAGTCCACTTACACCTGAAGGACAAAGGGCACACTTTGACGTAGACGAAGTACACATTCTGGACAGAGAAGATAGATGGTCCAACCAAAGAAGTCCAGTTGCCTTCATTTGAAGCCCTTTGGATTGCAGGTTTTGTAGTAAAATCCTGTATTTTAGTTGGCAGTCGATGCCATTTAAAATGTTCAAGTTGCAAAGAATTTGCAGAAGAAATATAAAAGAAATTAAGACATGACGACAATGACCTTTTTCCTACATTTAAGAACATTTTTAAAACTTCTCAGTTTAAGAATAAAATAATTTCAACTAAATCACCAGTTCATTCAACTTAAAGAGCAAGTCACCCCCCTACCAGAATATTACTCCACTCCCACTTCCTATTTGAAAAATGCAACAAATACTGTTGCCTGGCCGACCGAGAGGGCGGAGTCGCTAACAAATACACACATACACAGGCTCACAACGACATTGTGACATCATAATGTACCAGCTAATGTCATAGGGTACCTCTTAGCCAATAGCAATGGCAGATTTAAATTAAAATGCAGTGCAGAGTTTTTACCTGACAACGGCACAACACTGACAGTTTTACACAGATTATTTAAATTTTAACTAAGATTAAGTAAGTGCAAAACTATTTACTGAACGTGTCTACGGAGCAATTAGACACTCATTTATATAGTTTATCAGAAAAAAAAGTTGATTTGGGGGTGACTTGCTCTTTAAGCCCAAAAATCAGTCTCCAACGTAAACATGTAATTTGAAAACTATGCTAAATGAAATAACTAAATGTCTCCTGTGTAGCTTTAGTGGGTCTGCTGTTAACACGGGGTAAAAACCAGCATGCCGGCTACAGCATGTGAGAGATGGACTCCCACAATAAAAAGGGAGAGATTGATTACAGTCCTTGTCCAACACCGATACCGTTAGACCCACACCCAGCACTCACCCCATGCACATGACGTCTCCCTCCTCTGCATCTCCTCCCTCGTTCCGCCTCAATGATGCGATTGGAGGCCTGACCCAAAATCTGTGGTGATAAATGACTCTCATCTTGCTGATGCTAGCAGTTTAAACGGTGTATCTCAGTGTTTAGCTCCAGCCCTGTCTGATCTGCTGCTTCTGCTCACTGGTTTTCATTTCTACAGTGAGATATCTGGAAAACCCATGATATAGTTGGATCAGCTTTGTTAAGGAGTTAGTTTACCTGTTTTTCATTTTTAATTTTGTTAACCATTTAACTGGCAGGTCAACCCATATCATGTTGGAACATGCAACAAACTCTAATGCAAGAAAATAAATAAAAAAATTAAAAAGGAGCATTTCCATTATCAGGACTTTTGGGTAATTTTATTGGGCCTATGCAACATTTCATCACGCTGGCCCAAAATGATCACTTTGAACTGTTTTTCTTGGGAAAAGGCCCTGTAGAGTCACTGAGCAGGAACCAATGCTGATTGGTTGTAACTCAGTAGAAAATGATATCGGCAGACGTAAAAAAATAAATATGAATTTGAAAATGAAATGTGTTAGATGCATATTGTTTTCAATGAAAAAGAATAAAGACACATGCAATGTATCGCCATGGACTAACTCTCCCAGAGTTATCACAAGGACAGATGTGGGGTGCCACCCTAAACTCTTCTCTCGCCCCATCTTGGGGTACCACTGGCTCCAGGACCAGGAAATTCCACAGATATGAATCCCAATGCCAAAAACAAATTAAATCTGCAAACATTTTTTATGCCTCTTAACATTGTTCTGGCACATAGTATAGCTTTAACTATATTGTTGAGATAAAGTGGTTCTCTCACATACAACACTTTTACGTTAAGCTAGTTAATCCTGATACCTCAACGTGTGACTGTTTATGTTCATATTCTGTTTACTTTATGTTTCAGTTAATAGTTAAGATTTGCCTAATTACCATGTTTACATTTATACTTTTTTAGACCCTGTGTGTGTCTGTGTGTGTGTGTGTGTGTGTGTGTGTGTGTGTGTGAGTGTGTGTGTGTGTGTGTGTGAGAGAGAGAGAGAGAGAGAGAGAGAGAGAGAGAGAGAGAGAGAGAGAGAGAGAGAGAGTGAGAGAGTGAGTGAGTGAGTGAGACTTTTTAGCCTTTTAGCTTTATTTTACTTATATTTTTCTACCTCCTTACGTGAGCTGTCTTTAGTGAGTGGAAAGTCAATTTGGTTGTACACCTGTGCAATGACAATAAAGTTATGTTAAAAGCATCTAAAATAATCAGCCAACAACGCACTTCGGACTAAACACAACCATTGAACCATTCGGTTGTCCGTTTTGTCGAACCGCCGCAGTTCCCTGGGTCCTCCATTCATAAACACACTCACATATTTAGTAACAGAGCACCTGTGGGAGGTTCTTTGATCCCTATCAGACAAGGAGAAACAGCCGGCTGCTACCACTTCAACTTTAGGACAAACTACAATAGTCCCAAAAAGAAAAACATCTTTTGAAGACACGGACAACAAAAGACATTTGAGCGTGGAAAGCGGCAACTGGTGTTTAGAGCTCTCTCGTTTCCTCTGGTATCATGGGTTTCTGGTTCCTGCAGAAGCATCTCAGGGAAAATACCTGGGGGAAGGGTTTGCATTCAGAACATAGCTTGCTCTGTAGATTTGCTATTACAGCTTTGATGGACAACAAAACAAGCAAACAAAAAAATAAAATAAATAAAAATAATCAAACCACAAACATTTCTTATGTAAAAACGGGCAGCTATTGTCAGGATTTGGGCCGAAAGCCGCATGTGAACCATAACCAACAGCAAAATTTCACTCTTTGCTTCAATTCATGTACTCATCGATTTAACTCAACTTTTATGTTTTTGAATCAGAAATTTTGTTTTATTTCAAGGTGCTATACAAAAACATCATATGTTAAATGTTTTTGAAACATTCACAGATTTTTCCAGTTTCATTTAAACACACACACACACACACACACACACACACACACACACACACACACACACACACACACACACACACACACACACGTATTTATTTGCTTGTGTGGACCCTCCATTGACTTTCATTCATTTATTTTTTCATTTTTGTGACTGTATTATGCCTAACCCATACCTCAATCCTAACTATAACCAATGCTGTTCTATTTTTAACCCTAACCTAAACAAAAGTTAATTCACACCATATCTCTAAAACCACGTTTTAGGGTATTTTGATATGGTGTGGACCAGCCATATGTCCCCACAATGTGAAAATGTCCACACACTACAGGTTGAAAGTTTAAATCTGTCCACAAAAAACATGTAAACACACACACACACACACACACACACACACACACACACACACACACACACACACACACACACACACACACACACACACACACACACACACACACACACACAAAGGAACGTGCATTTCCTAGTTCTGAGCTCCTTTGTCTCCTGAAGGAATACTTCCACCGAAAGGAGCTGGGGGGCACCAAAGTCTGCTCTCCTCTCTACTTTCTGTACTCCACAGCCTCCCCCTCTGCTCGGTCCCCTCTTTTGTGTGTGGCTACCCGAACCCGAATAAATTAGCAGTCGGTAAACGAGGGGGAGGATGTGCGGCGGAGGAGGGGATGGAGAGGAGCAGGGGGCTGGGCCTGGTGGCTGGCTGTGGAGTCGGCTTTCAGTGGGAGAGGCGCACGGTCCCCCCTGAAGCGGCTTCGTCACACCGCGGCTGACTGGATGCTGAGGGAAGAGGACCGAGACTCCGGGCTGAGCAGCACAGGAGGATCCCTAAAACATCTGTCAGCGGATCCACATGCGCGCACCTGATCCGGAGACAGGCAACACCGGTGGAGTCCCCTAACCTGCTGGTTAACTGGATTAAACAGCTGGTGGATTTGAAACAGCTGCTTTTTCATTCGTTCTTTTATTTGGATACAACAGCCCAGAAAATATATAGCTCCCTGAAGCTTGACTGTTGAGCTCCATTCAGGATTTTGTCCTGGCTGTCGTTTGGGGGAGACTGGAAACCCGTTTGCATACTAATCAGGTTTCAGAGCGGGCATCCAGAGCAGACTGGACCCAATGAATGTAAGTAAACGCATTAATCTAAATGTAAATTAAGAGTCTGTATGTAATTGAATTAAGCCGAGCTGGCTTCTGGTTGTGTGCATTTGGGGGTGCAGCCTGCATCCTCACCTTGCATGAGCGACACCAAAGGGTCTATAATAGCAGCACTTCATAGTGATGCACATGCAACCTCATATTCACTATTGATCACCATTGGCAGCTGATGAATCACACTGCAAACATAATAAAAATGAGTTTCCCAGATGAAAATGGAAAATCAATCTGCTGGTTTTCTTCATCATCATGGAAATATTTAATAACAGCAGGTTAGTTTGATTTCTTCCACCTCTTTTTGTTTTGGAGCACAGATAGAGACACAGAAAAAATGTGATCGTAATCTACATAGAGCTATTTTAATTCTTTTCCTCTAACATAAAGCGTACTTATTTATACTGTGAAGTTCTGTCTGTGTGGTCAACAGCTAAAAATGGGAACCCAGAGCCACGTTTAAGTGCGTAACCACAATAGTTGGGCATATCTGGTGTCCTCTATTGCATCCACAACTCCTGCTTTTCTCCTGCATATCCTTATATTATTACACGATGCCTTTACATGGCCTTGCATGCTCCAGCTCAGCGGTCTGTTGGCCCCAGTGTCAGCCTCTGGTCTGCCAAACACCAGCCAAAGTGTGGTCTTTTGTGGAGTGATGAGGCATGCAGAAGGACTTTTCTTTTCTAACGTGAACCATATGGATATCTAGTTGGCGTGGCTACAACAGAGCGGGGCCTCCGTTTGTGCAAACAACTTCTGGTTCCTTTTATCAGCTGCTTAGAGGAACAGAACTTCAATTACAGGAGCGGGATTCGGACATGCACACACACTGGAGAGTTTAATATTTGATACTTGTGTCCGTGACTTGTTTTCTCGTACAAGATGGTTTCATGAAGCCAAAATGAGCTTTCCTCTTCATGTCTTTAAGTGGTGTCTGGATTGAGACGGTAAAGGCGGAGGGGTCAGCTCCTTTCAGAGCTTATCATCAGAATAAACAGTCTGCTGTTTATCTGCCACTTTGTGTGATTGTGTGCAGCCAAAAGGATGAATGGGATGATATTAAGCCAGACAGGGTCAGGGGCTCAATTTCAGCTCAATACACACACTTATTTCAGTGAATTATCTCCTGAATGACTGGATTGAACCCTTTTTGCTACATTAAGCGTCCAATGCAACGACTTGGCATGAATCTCAACTAATGTGTAATTTTCACCATTAATCTCAGGGAAAATCCATCAAAATGTTGTTTAAAAGAAATGAAAGTGATACATTGCAACTTTTTCATATTTTTTAAATCATTTTCTTGAGCCAGATGTGCTAAAATGACCTTTTACATGGTTCATGAAAGGCCACCCAGCCTCAATCGCCCCCTGTGGCCAGAATATTCCACTTGCAACTTCAGAGTTGCTGGTCTGGTCTGTTGGGACTTGTTGGAGCTGACATACCTGGAGCTGCAGGTTGGCTCCAGCACATTTCCTACGTGTTTTAGATCATGAACACAGCTGGTTTGTTTCATTTAGTGACGAATCACTCCTGTAGATGCTACGGAAGGCTGGGGAGAAATTTCAGCTGTGAGATGAAGGTGTTAAAATCATGATGTGTATTTTCCCTGGCCATAGGGGGCAGTACATACATGAATCATAGCAAGCAAGCAGTATTTTTGTGTTCAAGTGATGGGCTCGACACACGGGAGGCGACATTGCCTCTCCTCCATTCATTTTCATTGAGACATTCGCGACAAAGCGATAATCGCGGGTCTCCCTCCTACTAAGCGAAACGCGAAAAACGTGCGTGTGAAATTTTGCGCTCGTGCACATGTCGTGCACAGGCGACCCAGCGACGCGATCCCAGAAAGTTGAAACATTTTCAACTTTTCATCGCTGTCGCTCGGACGAGGACCAATCAACAGAGGTTTCATTCACTGACCAATGAGCGGACAGGATGCTCCGTACATCTCTGAGCAAACATGGAGGAGAAGTTGATTATTATTATGTTTTATATAGTAAAATCAGAAGTAAGATTTCACATAACTCTAGCAGCACCTTGTGAAACATCATATCTACCACCTTCTTAACTCTGAACCGCTTAAATAACCTTCATTCCCTCCAACCTGACACAGCCAATCAACACAACGGAAGTTTCGATTTTGCCATGGAACATAACGCGTAGACGCCTTTGCTGCTGCCGCGGATCGCCTCCCGTGTGTCAGGTGATAAAAACGACAGTGACAAATTTCGCTGATCGCGGTTGTTTGTCGCCTCCCGTGTGTCGAGCCCATGAGACCATAACAACGGAGGGCCATTAGGGTCAAAAATCACTGGGAGTGCAGACTCCAGCATGAGAAGCGCATCAGATGCCCTTTCATCACTGGTAACAAGTGAAGAGGTAAATGTGTAAAACAACTATGTTTATGAATGGCAAAAGTTTTGTAACCGCTTCTTACAAATCAGTAAATGCAGTTTGTCTTCACGGGCTCCCGTAGAAGGAAACATGGGGTCTAATATGGCATAGCTTAGAGACTTTTCATGTATTTTAGACCCAAATTTGATGGTTATATGTTACGAAGCAGCCTATCTTATTCAACAACTGGGCATCATTTAATTTATTTTTTAACAACATTTCAATGGACATTTACAGAGATTACCAGTAAAACTAGACATTGTCTCTTTAAAAAGATGAACGCACAACAAGGAGATAAGATTTACTTTCCGTTCTACAAACAGACACTAGGGGGTGCTAAAAGCAAGCCAAAACTGCATAGTCTCACTTTAACTGATGCCCAGTTGTTGAAAAACATTCGTAAAAGCTTCATAACATATAACCATAAAAATCTGGCCAAAAATACATGGTAGTGGGTCTAAAGTCTCTGGGCGACGCCATATTAGACTCAATGTTTCCTTCTACAGGAGCCCGTGAGAACAAAACACGTTTACTAATTTGTAACAAGTGGTTGTAAAACTTTCATAAACATTGTTGTTTTACACATTTACCTCTTCGCTTGTTGCCAGGGATCAAAGGGAGTCTGATGTGCTTGTCATTTGGCTGGAGGCTGAATGGCCTGACGAAGTACTCTTTTCGAAAAGTTATTTTTGTCCCTCATGGCCATCCGTTTGTAAGGTCTCACTCAAACTCAAAAATACTGTTTGCTGTCGTCAGTGAAATTACACATAGGAACTTAATTCGATTACTGGAATAAGGAAATTTGACACTAAAATACAGGCAGGTCATTGTGCTGCCTGTTACTTTGGGTATGTCCAAGATGACGTTTTATTCTTTTGCGATTCCCAACAGTCTTGAGAGTTGAAACTTTGAGGAAACCCAATATAATCAGATTGCTCATTTAGCCACCCACTGTGAAATCCAGCTGCTCTTGTATACAGCGTGCTTGTCACAAAACCCACATAAAGGGAAAAAATAGATTTTTGCAATCATTGCACATTTTTATCATATCAACCATTTTCTCAGAAAGCCAAAATGGATTTATAACACAATTTGCAAAGTTACCTCATGTAAAATCTAATCTTGTGGATGAAGCAATCACAAAAAGGATGTCGAGTTAAATCCGCCTCGCCTCATCTTGAGGGTGAATCTGACAAAAACAATAGAAGGAGATGAAGAAAAAACATTTTCACATGCAATAAAAATGCCATAGAAGATATTTTTCTTCAGGTAAACAAGAGTTAAGGTCAACTTAGAGTGGAATAAATACTTCATGCTACTTGTATTTGGATCCTGAATGGCTAGCAGATGACAGCCAGCAAGAAACAAACAAAGGGATTCTTTTGTTGGCTCCCCAAGTAGCTAGTGGAAATATTTACCCAGCATCTCTCACTCCCAGCATGATGCTGATGCTCGGGGTCCATGTTGGTGTTTTTTGTTTACCTCACAGCCACCACCTCAGACAAAACACAAGAGTCCTACTGGGGGATTTTTTTTACCATTTGCGTTCATCATGCAGCATGTGAACCGTAACCAGTGTTTAGCTGATGCATTGTGTGAGGGAGTAACGAGCCCAAGATGTTTAGTTTTCTGGAAAATCACTTTCTGTTTGCATCATCTGTGCTTATTTGGACCAAACTCCATTTAGTCTAATCCCTTACATCCACTCTGAAATGGGATGCTCCTTCATGAAGTCAAAAGTGCAATAAAATAGACACATTTTCACATGGTATCACACTGAACTGGTGCAAATGATACTTGGGCATCAATTAATGTAAAGTCACATGGAGCATATGACATAATAAACTTATGTTGTTTCAATTTAGAACTATTGAATCTTAATTGTGTCCCAATTTGCCTACTCGTTTCATTAGGGTTTTGATTGCCAGATCTTTTTAAAGTCACCAGAGAAGCGTTCGAGATGATGGTCCTGCAACAAATCTCAGCAATACGAGATCAAGGCATGGAAATTCTGTATTTTAATCGACAACCCTTGCAAACATTTTGAAAACTCCCTCTCAGTCGCAGCCATGCAAGGTATGGGGGTGTGCATCTGGGGCGAGCTGCCCTGTTGGAGAGGCCCTTTTGTGGAGTTGTGACGTTCGCGAATGAACTGATTCTTTTGAACGACTCATAAGCATGAACGATGGGAGCCGAGTCGCGGCTGGGGGTGGTGGGGTTGGGGGGCTGTTCTGTTATTCTTTTTTTCCTATGCGAGTTTCACACAGATGCACACAAATTAGCTCCTCCGCGAGATAGAACAGTGACGTTCACGAACGAATCGAACCTCTTGAACGGGTCTTCAAAGTGAACAATGAGTCCCAAGAAGGAGCCATGAATCCCATCACTACATATTTGTAGAACAACATCACAAAGTATTTACATTTTTAGTCATTACAACATAACAATTTTGCTACTTGTGATATAACAGATTTTCAACAAGTTTCAAATTTTGCTCTTTTGCAAAAAAAAAAATATATATATATATATATATATATATATATATATATATATATATCCGTCTCAGTAAC